CAACCCATTTCTAGAGTGGGGAATTAATAGAGACTGGGGAATTAATAGAGTGGGGTAGAAAGAAGGGGGATTATTTTTCAACCCATCTCTAGAGTGGGGAATTAATAGAGACTGGGGAATTAATAAAGGACTGGGAGATTATTAGAGTAAATACGGTAAATAATGTAATAAAATTTCTTTAGGCTGCTGATGATAATTATCTAGCAATAAAACAATTTTTCAAAAAATATCCAAAATTTCTAAAGAATGACGTTTATATTACCGGAGAGTCATATGCCGGTATTTACTTGCCAATGCTTACATCATTAATTGTTAAAGGAATGAGTAAATTTAAAATAAATTTAAAGGTAGAATATGATTCAGAATTAAAGAAATTAAATTTCAGGGTCTAGCCATAGGCAACCCTTATTTAAATAAAAAGCTGGATTATGAATCAGCTCTTATTTATGCATATGGCCATGGAATAGTAGATGAGGAGCTTTGGCAGTCAGTTAAAAAGGATTGTTGTAAAGGATGTGTAGGTACTGCTATTAATTTAATAAGATTAAAGTCCCACCAAGGGGCGCTTGGGAAAAAAATCGAATTTTGTTTCGGATCGTGTTTTCAAAATTTCTTCGGATCGGGGTTCGGATCAGAAAAAGTACAGGTATCAGATTTCAGATGCCCCTAATAGATAATATGCCTAATGATAATAATATATAATATGTAATAATAATAAATAATATTTAATAATTTAATTTAACAATAATAATATGATAATAATATGTAATATTATTATATATTACATATTATTAACATAATAATATATGCCCATAATAATAATACCCCTAAGATGCCCCTCTCCTATCTGTTGTTGCTAGATTTCTTCTCTCAGCATGATTCCCAAATTTAAATTTTTAACTTTAGAAGGATGTGATGTAGCAAATCTGACCGGAATATGTTCTACTAGTGTAACTTTATTTTAATACTCGTTATTTAATAAAATGAAAATTATTTTAGTCAGTACAAATTTACAATGCATTTTCAAATGGCAATATAAATCCTTATGATATCTATAGAATCTGTGGTAAATAAGAATAATAAAGTTAAAAAAATACCTAAAATAAATTAGATAATTCACCAAACTCCTCATCCAACCAAAAATATGATATGTTCTCTAGAGCAGCTTTTCGGCTCAAGAATATGGCCAAATTAGCCAAGAAAGCAAAGATGAATATTGTATAATATTTAAATATTAAAATCAATTTAGAAAAATTTTTTAAGATGGAAGAAGATACTAGAAGAGTAAAAAGAGACGATGGAAGTTCGTTTGATCCGTCACCTGTTCCTTGTTTAGCCGGTAAAATACTTAATTTATATTCTGATAATAATATCAAATGATCGACATAAGAATGATTTAAATTAACAAATTTCTTGTATTATCGGCAAAAATTTTTATAAAGGAAGGAGCATAACATTCATAGTAGTGATGCTGCTGTTCCCCGAATTGGAAATACAAAATATCTGTAACTTCTAAACTTGAAAATCGGAAATTTATTTTTTTGACGGCATCACCCCTTTTACATAGCAAAGTTAGGTACTTATGAAGATGGAGGTGCCCTTTCTGCGGACTTTTTTTGCGGACTTTTCTTCCCTTCTTTTAAACGTTTTACTTGTAGCAACTAACTGTCAACGCCACTCCCCCATTATTCTTCTTACCTAAGATTGTACATAAAGGTCAGATTTTCTTCTTCCTCTCCTTCCTCTATTTGCCCTGTGGCAAATTCAAACAAGAGACATTGATGAAGAGAAGATTAATTTTATAGTCATACACTTATTTTTTGCCTTCGAAAACAATTTAAGCAAAAAAAGAATTAAATGAAATTGATTTGGTGTAGAACATTATGAATTTGTGTGTAAAAACATTACATTCTTACTTCTATTTAAAAATATTGAACAACTGAAAAAATAAATTGAACTCAGTATTGAACAACTCAATTAATTTTTATCTTCTCTTTATCAACAATATCTCTTATTTGAATATGCCAAGCTCAAACAGAGGAAAGAAGGAAATCTGACCATTTTGTACAATCTTAGGTAATAAAAATAATGGGGAGGGGGACAAGGTTTGAAATTACCCGCATTTCTGTTCCACAATAACATTCTTTTTCTATGAAGCATTCTGAGATCAAAGATCCATTGTCGAAATTCCTCATCGGGTAATTGAAAATTTAGTTAAAGTAAAATTTTTAATTGATTGTACCATTTTTTACGTTTATATATTCAAATTAATCGTGAACACATATTTTTCAAATCGGCATAAAAAATAATTTTTTGACAGTTAATTGCTACGAGCAAAACTTGCTGAGAGCAAAACAACCAAAACATTTAAAAAGAAAGGAAGAAAAGTCCGCAAAAAAAGTCCGCAGAAAGGGCACCTCCATCTTCATAAGTACCCAAAGTTAAACTACTAGAGTGTTAAACTAGTACCCAGAGAGATAAACTACCTTGGAATGATCTGACCATGAATAATGATAAAATACCTAACTATTAAAATATCTTACCAAAAATTATTTTCAAATCAAAAATAAATTTCATTTTTATTTAAAGATGATACCATGAATACTTATATGAATAAAAAAAAAGGTGAATTTGTTAGTAATTTGCAGACTTGATCCGCAGGAGATCCTACACAACCGCTTTATAATCTCGTATCACATCGGTTTAATAGTAGACGTGTAGCCTAATCGTTCGAACTTGCTGTTTTATACGTAATTGATAACCCTGATCCAATGATGGTTCTATTACATCTACCATCCAATGAATTTTCCCATCCCATGAACATGGGATAATGCATGGGATAATGAATACCAGAATCTTATAGAGCTATAGTCTGCGGATCGGTCTGCTCTAATATACATTTAATATATTCCAAATCTTTTAAACTTTTAAAAATATTTTTAGTTATGAAAGCATTGCATATCAGCCGAAATATAAGATGGAGTTTGTGTAGTGATAGTGTTTCTTCTGAAAATAATTACCAAATAATTCAGCGTAAATACCTAAATTCATATTTTATCAAGCTTTTGGGTTATGATTAGGGTTTGAACTTTTAAGATTCTGTGACCCATTTTAGACTTAACATGGACCCGTGTCGAGATCAGAGCTTAAATTCTACAAAACCGCCCTGATTTTCTTTCTAAATGTCAGGGCTGTCAATTGTCAAAATGTCAGGAACTTATATTTAATTAAAAATGGATTTTTGATTAAACTAGGAAAAATTTTCTAGACAATTTTATTCGAGAAAATAATTAAATAAAATTTTTTCTAGATGACATGACTCCATTTTTCAAAATTATTTTAAACGCTACAGTGCCAACTTTGCTTTATTATGGTGATACAGATTCCGTTTGTAATTTTATTATGGGTCAAAAATTTTCGGAACAACTTGGGCTTAAAGTAAAATTTTTTTGAATTTTCTATCTAAAAATTATTTTAAGCTTAAAACACCAAAACAAGCCTGGTTATTTAATAAACAGATAGGAGGGTTTAAAACGGAATATTTTGGCGGATTAACGTTTCTGACAGGCAAGTTTATATTTACTTGAATTATTTTTAATAATTTAAAATTTACAGTTCGAGGCGTTGGTCATATGGTGAAAATTATTTTTTAAAATTAATTTAAAAATTAAAAAAATTTTTTAAGGTCCCCCAGTGGGCTCCCGCTAGAGCTGAGTATATTATAAAACAATTTATGAATAACTTACCTATATGAATTGGATGGATTTGAATGAATGAAAGAATGTTTCGAAGAAGATAATAATTTTTGAATTAAAAAGATAATGATAATTTTTTTGAAGTAAATTTTAAAAAAACTGGGATGGATTTTATGTGATTTTATTATTATAATTTTATTACAGGGTTTAATATTCATTTTTTTTCTAGTAATTGCCTCTAATTAATTAAAAATTTAATTAAAAATTTTAATTTAAAGTAAGATAAAATTTTAAGGTGAAAAGTTGCTTTTTGTTTTAAATTATAGACGGTTTTTGAATAATAATTAGAGTTTTGGGGAATATTGTTGGAGGGTAATGACTTCATCACAAAGTTCAGGGCATGACATTTTTAGGGAAATTATTTTTAGGGATAAGTATTTTTGTGGAAAATTTTAATGGAGCAAACTTAATCGCCTGATGTGATTATTTTTCATTGCTTCCTAAATTTGCCTCTTTTGGAATTTTCTGGAAATTTCCAAAATTTTTGTTTTTGTGAGAATTTTCCCTCTATCTTAGGTCTATCTAAAAGGTACTTACGTATTTACTCGATTAATTCCCCTCCCTTGAATAATTCCCCACCCTCTATTAATTCCCCATGCCAGGGATGAGTTGAAAAAATAATTTTCCACCCTCAATTACCCTATTGCACGTTCAAATGCCAAAACTCGAATAATTCCCCTCCCTTCGAATAATTCCCCATGATACGAATGGGTTGAAATATTAATTCCCCAGGGGAATTAATCGCGTAAATACGGTAAATAAATAAAAAATTACACCAAAAATGACGATAAGAATTAATAAATTAAAATTAATCTCCAAATTTTAGTCTTTCACATATAAAAATTTTAAATTTTATTCAATTCCTTTAATGTTTATTAGGAAATTACCTTCTGATCTTGACTAATAAATTTTACCATTTCTTTATTATTTTCTCGATTGATCAATAACATTATTTAACCGTCTGTTGAATTAATAGTTTGCACAGGCTGTCACTATCTTCTTTTTAAAATAAAAAAATAATAATATACCTAATTATATACTTAAATTAATAATAATAATTATAAAATAATCGTTATTATTAGTACCCTGCCGTTTAATGGGGCCTCCTTTCTCTGACGATTATGAGACTATATTTTTGACTAAATTTCAATTGACCCACTATAATTTGCGAAAAATAAATGATAGTTAAGGAGTAAAGAATGATAAATTTCATTTGGTATAAAGAGAACACTGGGCTCATAATGGTCAGATAAATGGCAGGAGTACCTTATTATTTTTAAATTAATTATGGAGACTGCTAAAGCATCTATTTTATCTCATATAAATGTCATTGACTTTTCTCGAGTTGTGGCAGCACCCTTTGCTTCAATGATACTGGGTGATTTGGGGGCAAAAATTTGGAAAATTGAGAGGCCTAGTAAGCTGAGATATTTAAATACATTTTTAAAAATATTTAAGAAATTGGAGATGAATCTCGTTCATTTTATCCACCGATGATTAATGGACAGAGTTGCTATACTCTTTCATTAAATAGAAACAAAAAGAGTGTGGCAATAAATTTGGCAAATTCGGAAGGGCGAGAATTGGTATAATTTACATATATTTAAGAATAAGTAGTTCCTTAAATAGGTTTTATTGTTAAAATAGAATTTCCTATAAAATTAAAATATGATTCAAACCACGGCTAAATTATGAATTTATTTAATCGAAAATGAAAGGATCTCGAGTAAGAGACCCTGTAAATTTTCAGGGTATTTCTGCCTCGTTTTCAGCAAAATACACCCGCAGTCCTTCCTTGAACCCGAGCCATGGAACCAAAGAACTTACGTTTCAAAATTTTCTCTTAGGAAGTTCACAGTTTTATGAGGAAATTAAATTATAAGTTTTTTAGAGAAATACCGTATTAACTCGATTAATTCCACCTGTGAATTATTTTTTCGGCACTATATGAAATGAGGTCGGTAATCGTTTTTTTCATTACTTTTTTCATTAACTTTTTCCCTTCCTTAATTATAAATAATGGTCAGTCTTTTCTTCCTCGTTCAATTCCACTCTTTTTACCTGTGGCTTATTCAAATGAGGACAGACAAAAATACACACACGGACAGACAAAACACGAGTGTTTTCTGTTCGTGTCCGTTCGTGTTTGTTTGTCCGAGTTCGTCAGTATTTTTTCTGTCCGAGTTCGTCCGTGTTTTGTCTGTCCGTGTGCGTGTTTTTCTCTCCTCTCATTTGATTATGCCACAGGCAAATTTAATGGAGTTGAACAAGGAAGAAGATGCTGACCATTCTGTCATATCAAGGAAGGAAAAAAGTAATGAAAAAAAAACGATTACCGACTTCGTTTCATATAGTGCCATTTTTTCAACCTATCCGTGGCATGGGGAATCATTCAAGGGAGGAGAATTATTCGAGTTTTGAAATTTGAATGTGTAATAGGGTATTTGGGGGAGGGGAATTATTGTTTCAACTCATCCGCAACATGGGGAATTATTCGAGAGAGAGGAATTATTCAAGGTAGGGGAATTAATCGAGTAAATACGGTAGTTTAATTAAGTTAAATAGATAAATATGTATTTTTAATTATTAAATTTATTTAAAAAAATAAAAATAACAGGCAAGAAAACTTTCAATGCGAGCAGACGTTTTGATTGAGAATTTTAAAACGGGTCATATGAAGAAGTTCGGGTTGGATTACGATAATCTCAAAAAAATTAATTCTCGATTAATTTACTGTTCAATATCTGGTTAGATTAAAATATTTTAAATTAGCAGAAATATTTAAAATTGAAGGTTACGGCCCAGACGGCCCATATTCTGAAGATCCAGGCTATGATGTTATTGCTGCAGCTATAGGGGGTTTGCTAAGCATAACAGGACCACGGACAGCTAATTCTGGTGAATATATTTCTATTTTATTATTAGGGCTGTTGCCCGGTCCGTTCCGAAAGCATTGAATTCTGGCCAGAAAAAGACTCGTTCGGACCGGCCCGATAAAAATGTTACCCGAAAAATATGAGAAAAAAAATGCCGACTCGAAAATCACAACCCTATTTATTATCAGGCAACGGGGTGCTTGTTTTGGAGGGAAAGAAGGTTGCGGGGAATGTTGTTCCAACAAGAGAGAAGTTCCAACAAACAGAGAAAGAAAATTCTAGCGGTACCATAGACGGTGGTACCTTTGTCTTTCTCATTTTGACAACCCCCTGAATTACCTAAAGCGAGGAATTCTTCGGAATTTAACCAATAAAAATAGGTAGAATGAGACGAGGGCTTGAGATAAAAATCCCCAGATAAATATGTAATGATTGAAATTTTAGAACCTTGCAAACCCGGTGTTGCAGTCACAGATTTAATGACTGGCCTATATGCTCATGGTGCTATACTTGCGGCATTATTACATAGAGATAAAACGGGAAATGGTCAACAAATTCAGTGTAATTTATTATCTACCCAATTAGCTACTTTAATTAATATTGGAAGTAACTATATAAATGCGGGAATTGAAGGTATTTTAATTAATAATTAAATATGAAATTTAAAAATAAATTTTCTAACTCGATAAGCAAATTATTTCAACCATAAATTAATAAAATATAGGGAAGTGTGGTAATGTTGGAGAAATTAAATGATAAACGGGTCTTGAAGTCTTCTATATTTCATTAATTGGAATTATCATAACTTATTTTCTTGAATAATTATCCGGTATAATTATTTATTAACTTATATGTAGCTGGTGGTGGAGGAGGATGAGGAGAAGGAGGGGGTTCCATTTAAAAATCGGTTCCAGATCCTTGCCGGTTCCAAGGTTTAAGTTCCATACTAGTTCCAAACCTTTACCGGTTCCACGATTTCAGTTCCGAAACTGGAACTGGAACAGCACCGGTTTCATAACTGCAACCACCGCATCACTAACTACGACAACATGAGAGTACCTAGCTTGTCGTACATTGTTCTGAAATATTTGATTCGATTTGAACTGATATTATATCTTAATCATGTCAATAATAAAAATATCTAATGTCTTTAAGGTAAACCTTGGGGAACTGAACACGAAAGTATCGTTCCATATCAAGCATTTCGGACAAAGGATGGTCGTTATTATGTTGTGGGTGCTGGAAATGATCAAGCTTTTATTGAGGCTTTTAAACATTAAAAAATATTTTTAATTTGCTTTTTAAAGCTTTGTACAAAAATGGAAATGCCAGAATTAGCAAATAATCCAGAATATGCAACAAACAGTGATCGAGTAAAAAATCGGGAAAGACTATTGAAAAAATTTAAAGAAAAGTATTTTAAATTTTTGAAATTAAAATGAATATTTTTTGAAGATTTTTGACAAAAAATTTGGAATTTTGGAAAAATAAATTAAGAAGCAAAAGTTTCCCGTCTGGACCAGTAAATACAATTAAGGAGACTTTTGACCATGAACAAACTAAGCATTTGGATTTAGTTAAAATTATGGAGCATCCTAAATATGGGAATGTAAAAGTTGTTGGTTAGTTTGTTTCAAATAAAATTTTATTTTGGCATAGAATTCAGGCATTTTCTAATATACATAAGTAGCGCCGTTTACTAAGTTTCAAATAAAGCAAAAAATAAAACGATTAAACGGTAGTGGGTTTGATCAGCGATTAACCAATTTGCATCGGACGTCTCTCAAAATCAATCCCCTCCAATCTTTTGGTATTTTCTTGGATGGGATTGGCCATGTTACTTGACAAAGCTCGAAATTTTTAGGCCAAAGTCTTGCTTTGTCTGATAGCCGGTTAAGGGGTATATTATCTCTTTGGGGCGCAGAACGCTAACTAGATTAAACCAAGATCCGTATCATAATTCTATTCATAAACTGCGAACTTGGTTGCGAAGCAAAATATTTTTATTTTAGGCCCTCCAGTAAAATATAGTGACACAAAAAATCAAGTTCGAACAGCACCTCCATTGCTAGGAGAACATACTTGCGAAGTACTTTCTCAGGAATTAAATATTTCAACTAAGGAATTGGAAAGATTAAAAAATATTGGAGCTATAGATTTTTAATTTTATATATTTTTAATTTATTTGTAAGGTTGTTCTCAAAGTTAGGTTTGTTCTCCTAGCCCTCCTAGGCTCCAAGGATTGCCTAGGAAGGAAATGTTTCTATTGTATCTTTGGGTGTTGTTTAAGGATTCATTCAGAATTTTTTGGAAAAAATATTAAACATCTTTTAAAACAACTTAGGAATTAGTAGAGATCGGGCCGAGACGAAATCTAGAGAAAAATCTTGGTTATCGAGATAGATATTTTTAGAGATACCGACCTTTTTCTCATATCCCAGTCTGGTTTCAAGAGATATTCACAGATAATGGGAGTTTTCATGAAGGCAAGAAGCAGGGGTTCTGATACCCGATACACAAAACACGGAATTATAATTCTAAACAAGGACTGACTGACTCTTTTCACATCCCGACTCTTCCCTTGAAAGGAGTACAGCCTTATTAGTCATTGACACTTTTTAATTTAAAAAAATCAATTTTCAAAATTATTAAAATTAAAAAATCTCGAGATAAAAAATAAATTTATTTATTCAGCTTTAGCTTATCTCGTCAATTGAATTTTAAAATTTAATAAAAAGGCAAGAAAGCCTTTTAATTCTATTTCAGGCAAAATTTTCTGCCTTTCAATTTTAAATAAAAATTAAAAACAAAAAAAGGGCAGATGAACAAATTAAAAATTAAAAAGAAAGAATTTTTTCTAAATTTTCTTTACGATTAGTGAGAGAAAATCATTTAAAAAATTAATTTTTAAATTTAAATTAAATTAAAAATTAAATTTAAAAAATATTTTTTATGAATTTATTTTCTATTTTTTTATTTTTATTTCCAATCGGATTTATTTGGGCTGAATGTAGCGGAGATTGTTCTTTAGAGAACCAATATAATTGTATTTTTTTGATTTAAAGCAGGGATGGTAACTGTTACGGGTTTCAATGCTCGTAACTGTGACGATTTCAGTTATACTCTCTAGAGATCGGCCTGGGTCTGGACCAAGGCCTGGGGTTTTCCTGTACCCAGAGTCCAGGCCCAGGCATTTTTTGACCTTTCTGTGTTTTTCCTGGACTACAGGTCAGGATCCGGTCCAGGTCAATAAATAAAATCTAGAGTCCAGGAACAGGTCTAGGCTGTTCAAAATTTCCGATCTCTAATACTCTCCCCAGTGAATATCAACAGCATGAGCGGACCGACATAAATAATAAACTCTCGATTTTGTGAAATGTGTCGGTAGTTCAATTACCGAGTCGTTTTTCTCAATATTTTGAACATTCATGATTTTTCGTAATTCATATGGATATGGGCAGCCATATCGAAATCAGCCTATATCCATAGATATCAAGATATCATTCGTTTCATACCTGAGTTGTTTAATTATCCATGCTTAATTTAATCATGTAGATAAATGTGAGGATAGAAGCGAATTTTGTGAAGAATGGGGAAAATACTGCGAGAATGTCTTTCTTCACAAATGTGTAAGAAAGGCTTGTCCAAAGAAATGTAAAGGTAAATAAATAAAAAAATTTTGGAGAAAATTCCTATTAGTTTGTCATAGTTCTGGTGAAGAACCTAAACCCCAACCTACAACTATAACAACGGCATCAACAATAACAGCACCATTAGCAACAACCCCTCAAAACTCAACTGGTATTGCGTCAACCTCAACAAATGCTACTCCATCAACAACATATTCAACCGAGGTATACGCGTACAATGAAAGGTTTATGCGTCCAATCAAATGGATAAGTAATCGGATCTGCGTGTATACTAGAGATCAGAACGTACCGTACTACGGCCGTATTTTTCGGTATTTATCGGTTTTCGTATCGGTAGTATAGCACGGAATATAGTACGGTACGACTTATTATTAAAAAATTGTAGAGATATAACATTGTTTAAAATTTTCTAACACCTGATGCCTTGGTAAGGAAATATGGTCATAGATTTGAATATTAAAACCAAAGTTGACGGATGGAGCTTAACTTCTTAGCGGATGGGGACGTACCCTATATGAATTTGAGATTAGAATGAATTTGAAATTATAACTTTTAGACGACAACTGAATGTGCCAACACAACTACAGAAGAATATGAAGCAACTACTGAGGAATATAAAGCAACTACAGAGGAATATGAAGTAACAACCCCTATAATTACAACCACCAATCCGACAACTTATTTATTAATGACTACAATATTTGAAGGTTAAGAAAGTCAAAAATAATAATTTTTAAAATTAAATTCAGAAATTAGTGACGACGAATTCAAAGACGCAAAGAAGATGAAATGTAAATCGTGTAATGCAAAAAGGAAGAAATTGGCTGAAATTTATGACAAATATTATCCGAAAATTAAGATTAATACTAAATTGTAAATTATGGACGGAAAAAGTTTTTGAATTGTGAAAATAAAAATTTAAATTAAAAATGACTAAATTTAATTTTTTCTGAAAAATAAAGTACGAATTAAATTTTTTAAAATATGTAGAGATAGAGACCGGACTGGGAGGATTGTAGGAGATATCTCGAAAAATCTCAATCTCGATAATCGAGATTTTCTTTACTATCTCGTCTCGATCCGGTCTATAGTAGAGATACTTCCAGATATGCAGATACTGTCGATTACAGACCACGACTTTGCGTAGAGGTCAGAATTTTAAAAAAAGCGGGTTCAGGAACCAGGAAACGGGTTCAGAAGGTTGAACGGGAGAGACCCGAACCGGGAAAACCAAGAATTTCATTCCGGTTGCTTCAAAAAAACCGGGAAACGGGTCTGGGTCCCGGACCCTTCCGATCTCTAACTGTGCGACAAAATTCAAACTCCAATTTCCAACTCAAATTTTTCAAACTCCAATTTTTCAAATTTTTAAACGGACTAAAAAGCCAAATTGACCAAAAATCACCATCGTCCATAGCTATCATAGCCATTTGGAAATTTAAAAAAACCGGAAAAAGTTTTTCTTACTCTTTTTAGTTAAAAATATTTATTTAATTTTAATTTTTTAAATTTTTTTAATCGATTCAAGATAAATTTATTGGCTATAGACAATCTCTCTCTTTGCCCTTCTACATAATCTCCCCTCTCAAATTTTTTTATTAAAATTATACGTGTCTGTTAAGCATTAAGCGACTGCGTCTGTTAAGCATTGTGATTTCCCCTCCTTAATTTTCCCTCCTCTATTTTACTCGCAAAATTGATTTTCAATTGTAAAATTTAAAAAAATTGGTTAAGAAAATTATTTAAAAAATTATTTAAAAAATTATTTAAAAAATTAATTAAATTAATTTAATTAACCTATTAATTTAATAAAAAATATTAGAAAATATAGGGATTATTCCAGTAAAAATTAGAGTTATTCCCCATCGATGCGAGTGCCTTCAGAAAAATTTCTGGGGAGACAGGGGGGACTGTATCTATCTTTTGAGTGAGATAGAAAACTTTGTTCTATCTCCACGTAGAGGAGGGACGGGCCCTTAAAAAGGCAACCAATTCCCTGACTTTAAAGGTGAGATAGGGGAAAACAAGCCTAAAATGTACTATTTTATATGTAAAGTGCCATTATTTAATATTAGACATTTTCATAATTATATATTTTTTATTTAAATTTTAAACAATAAATTTTAATATTTTGCAGTAAAAATGAATGTTATATTTTTACAAATTTTTATTTTGTTATTTTACAATGTTCTCTCTAAAGATGGTAATTAATTACATATTATTATTATACAACATAAGGAAAAAGTTTAAAAATTTTCAACAAATTTTTTAGAGAAATTTTAGGAACTTTCGGGTTGACAGGAGGGACTCTTGAGTGAGATTCACGTGAAGGGGGATGTATTGTGTCCTATTTTTCTTCTATAATAAAGAAAAATCTTTCTTAATGGATAGGGATTATATCACTGAAAACTGAGATATCGCGGAATCGAGGACTAATTAGTAGCTATATTTAATTCACAAAGACCCTTAATTATAGCGCCTTTAATAAAAAGGCACTTAATCTTATTTTTTTTACAACATGTAAAGGGTCAAAAAATTAAATTGAAATCTTATAAAAATTTTTTCAAATACAATATTAAGATGATGAAGCATTCCAAATGGAGCAACTTTACACAAAAATTTTTAACTTATCCAAGGAAGATGATAAACGGATATATATTCAACAAGTTAACGTTTTGGCGATTAAAAATGAATTTAAACAAGAATTTGAAAGAGTAATTGATGAAAATTTTGAGGAATTTTTAAAAAAACAAATTGGAGAGTCCATCCGAGGCTTTCCCTTCTTAGATAGTATGGACAAAGAGACAGAAGAGGAACTTGATAAATATTTGTGTAAATGTTGGAAATTATTTAGAAAATTTAGGTTGGAAATTTTTTAGCTTTTGTAAAGTTTTAGATCAGGGTTTTGAGATTTCCGCAGCTTAAAAAGATCCAGAGCCCCAGAGAAAGAGGGGCTCTGGATCGGAGAGAGGAAGGAGAAGGGGCTCTGGCTCGGAGGACATTAGCCAAACCCAATTTAGCATAGGATAAATATAAATTTTTGTATGATTATGATAAGAGGTTTATTATTAATAGGAGGTATTATCATCCTTATCAATCCCTATCAGAGCCATTTGGAAATTTCAATTTCATACATTCAATGACATCTTTTCGTGTAGGAGTTAAATTTTAAATTTATTCTAAGTTAAAATTTCAATAAAAACGTTAAAAAATAATTAATTCTTATTAAATTATTAGAGAGATAAAAGATGATAATGAATTACTATCTAAATTTGCAAAAGAAAATTTTTCAAGAGAAATTTCCATTTCATGTACAAAAAATGAGCGAGATGAATTAAGTTGGGATATCGTTCTTGCACATTTTTATCATCTTAAAAATGGCATTTTATCAAATAACAACGAAAATGAGTTGTGTAACTTCGCACTTAGAGTTGATCAAATGATTGATGATCTAATGAAGGTTGATACGGATTGTGATGTTGAAAGTCTTTTTAATTCTAAAAGCTGTAAGTATTTAATTTAGATTATAGAGACTCCGTGAACAAAAATTTTCAAAGACTCGTGATCAGATACACACCCCAAACCAAAGAGTCAAAAAAGATAAAGACAAAAGACTTCCAATCTAAACTCAACTATAGAAAGAGTTTGCAAAAGTTTAGCCACCGGGCAGGATTCGAACCTGCGACCACCTGCTAGTTATTGCTAGGCGCTTTCGCTCACCATATGCAAAAGCTCTACCTCTGAGCTACCGGGGCATCGACTAATGCTTTCCCATTTCCTTTTTAGATCGTTTTAGATCGTAAATGCTGCTAGGTGAATTCCTTACACTTTCAAATGCACCCTAAGTTTGATCCTAAAATTATTCGGAAACCCAAGATCGAACATTTCACCTACTCGGTCCTATGCATAATAGAGATGGCGAGCCAGTACAAGAAAATAACAACGGATTTTTCCTTGAGTCAAGGAAAAACAAGGAACTACGAAAAATGCCTTGATCTGACTCTGGTTCCAGGAAAAATCAAGGCCTGGATCCAGATCCAGCTCGCTCTCTATTGTCAACCGATCCGACTGATCCTTTTCATTCATCCTTTTCATTCTTACTTTATCTGCTAGACTGAAAGGAGACTTTTCAGGCATTTAAGCACTTATTTGAAAATTTAACTTTAAAAAATTCTAAAATTCAAGGGAATATAAATCAACAAAATTCTGAAATAGATTACTTGGTTCTTTTTGCCGAAAAATATGGTAAAGGACAGACAGTTTGGGCTGAATCCTTAATTACAATCCCCATATTACTCGAAACAATTGATCAAGAATTAAAAAAAGAAAATAAATATTTCTACTACCAATTCAAAATTTTGTCAAATATTGGAGGACAGGTTGTCATAAATGATTTAATACACGAAAAGGATGATATGAAAGGGATAACAATAGTTTTCGAACTTTACGAAATTTATCAGACAGTTAAAAAGGGAGAAGATAAAATTGATATAAAAAATAAAAATTTAAAAGATTTGGATGAGGGGATAAAATTTTTGAAAGAATTGAGAAAATTGTTTATTTCTAAACACGAAGAAAATATTAATTCTTATATTAATAGTGATGATGAAAATAGTTTTTCAAGCCAGATCAGACAGGGTTGGGGGATGAAGAATAGATTAAATGAATTTTTCTTTGGATTGGAAAATGATAAACAAAATCATCCAAAACTCCTTCATAATTTTTATGATTGCAGTAAATTTTTTTTAAAATTAAATAGGAAAAGAAGTGATTAGAATTGATACGGGTGAAATAGGCTAACTGATATCCGTCTCGGGTCTGGTATCTGAGTCTGGAACCGGAAACACTAATGCCAAGACATATACACAATCCGACTAGAATAAGCCTCTTTATTGAAGAGACATTTTTTGGAGAGCAAAGGGGGTGTTATTTTTCAATTTTCCTCTATAGGCATCCATACGGTAAATCTAGTATGTCTCGTAATCCCATCAAGAAACCTATGTTTACATATATGAGAATAATCATTTAGGAATGACAATGAGAGAGTCAGTAGAAGTCACTCCTATATCATTAGATTTTTAAATGCCCCGAAAAAGTGACATTCAATTAGAAAGGCATAGAAGGATAGAGTGGGATATAGAAGGATAAAGTGGGGATTTTCATATTGAATAGTTTGGGAAAGGGGGGGGGGCGGCCGTACTTCTACCAGAACCCCGAAGGGTCTATCCCGAAAACCCCGATCCCCGATGATTCCAACCCCAAAGGTACGGGGAGCTACCTAGTAAAAATGATCAAAAAAGAATTTATTTTAATGAATTTTGAGCAGCCTTTAGTAATCTTAAAATTAATTTTATCAATTAAGCTCCTGTTGAAATTTCTAATTTGACGCATAGAATTTATGAAAAATTTTATGAAAAAAATTCTAAAGGAATATTAGATGATGATTCTTCTTTAAATATTGAATTTGCATTAAATATTCTTTCATATATTTATAACATAGACGATAATTTAATTATAAATCAAAGAACCGAATGGAACGAAATTAAATATGAATTTATAATTTTTGTGGATTCACTTGTTGATTTTAATAAAAATAATATTGAAAAATTAAAATTGGAAGGTTTTTATTATCAAAATAAAATTTATTTGATCTGGGAAAAATGCAAAATCACCAAAATTATTGAAACAAAATTTATTTGCGATTTTTCATTTGATCTTTTAAACAAATTTGATAAGCAAGCAAAAAAGGTTTTTAATAATATTCTAATAATTATTGTTCTTAAAAATAATTTATGATATGTACTATTGGATTAGTTAAAGATAAAGTATAATTAAAACTAGAGTATGTCGAGTACCGAGTAATTGGGGGAAAACCGAGTTCGAGTAATACCGAGTAAACACAAAAAACTCGAACCCGTTCGATTCG